GAAAAACCTTCTCAGACGGCGCGAGGGCTTCCGAGAAGTCCCGCCGCCTTCTGAGAAAGCCTTCTCCTTCTCAATTCCCCCCCTCGCTCGAACGAGGCCCACGGGGATAAACGAAGCAGAAATTGGCCGAGCAACGACATATGTACATGCACGCCCTCCGCGGTCTTGCCGGCACGAATGTCCGCGTTGACGCGCGCTCCCGGGGAAACTAACCGCGTACGTGTACATATGTTCTTGGCCTCAGAGAAATGGCCCCGTGCAGCCGCAGGCCCACGATCTCCGAAAAGTAAATAAAGATGCCCCCGACCACGGGCAAGTGGCACCCGATGCGCCGGTAGACCAAAGCGGCGTCGCCAGCATCAGCGCGAACGACTCCGCCAGGAACAAGTCGCAGAATTCGTCGGAACAGTATATCCGAGGCGACAGCAAGCGATAACGGCGACAAGGGGCAGCCGCGACGCACCCCGCGCGCGATCGCCAAGCCATCGCGCCGCGGGCCCCCCGCGGCGGCGACGCAGAAGTTGAGCGCGCATGCGACAGAAACAACGTTGAGCAGCCACTGGGGCCAGCCCAACTTTTCGAACGCCCTCGCCGCGAAGCCCCGCTCCACCGACGGTAACGCCCAGGCGCAATCAAAGAACAGCGCCGCGGCGTCGCCAGACTCGAAGGCCCCAGAAAGCACGGCGCAATCCACGTCCAAAAGATTTGCGACCCTTGGCCGTCTCCCCACGAATCCACGCTGCACCTCCGCGATCATGGGGCCGACGATGGGCTCGACTAGGCCCCTGGTGGCGCTGGCGACGAAGCGGTTGTTTGAGCTCGAAACGTTCAGGGGCCTGACATTGGCTGCCTCGAAAATCTCGTCTCCGGCTGCTGTGCCACTCGGCTTCTCAGAGTGGAGAAGCCAGCGGCTGCGGCTCCTCGCCGACGCCGCCCACTCTGGCCCCCGCCACGCAGCGCGCGGCGCCCCGCAGGATCTGGGCCGAGAAGTCGGCGCAGCGGCGCCGCGCCAGAAAGGGGGGGCAAATCGGCCCTGGCGCGGAAGTGTTAGAGCTGCGGATTGCCGTAAGAAATGGGACCGCCGCAGGCGCAATACCGGGAAAGATAAATCCGTCGACGGCCAGCGCTGAGAGTCGTCGCGCAGTCAGTCCTCCAAGAGAGCCCTGTTGACACCCGTCTTCTGGAAGACCTTGCCCCAGCGGTCGCGCAACGCAATGGCCGCGCCCCGCGGGTCGAGAACAACTCCACCGGTCGGCTTCTGGCCCGCCCCGATACCTCCAGCTCTGCTGGGAGCAAGTCGGAATATCGGCCTCGTGTTCCATTGCCTTGCACGCGGTGTCATGAAATCGTCTTGCCTCGCAGGTCCTCGCAGGCCTTGCTCAGCTCGTCTAGATCGCGCTGCCTAGCCAAATTCGTTGCAAAATTTCGGAGGTTCTCCAACTTGCGCGTCGCGTTGCCCGCTATGGCGCAGGGGGGCCTGACACAATCCTGCAGCTCTGGGCAGGCCTGAATGCAATCTGAGGCGGGGGATCACCTGCCTCGCCCAATCGCGCGAATCCGCTTCATGGCAATGCCCGACCTGTCCCCTGCGCCTGAGGATTGCTCAATCCTGCGCGCCACTGTCCACGCGGCACGTTTTCCATAAATTCGAGCTGCTCATGGCGTTGGCCAGCAGGTTGCCCTCCAGCAGCTGCGCGCGCGCAAGAAAGAGCCGCCGCGGAAAACCTGTGTGCTGACATGCGCGCGAAGCGAGGGGGCGGCCCCCCTCGCGTTTTCGGCGAGGCAGCCGCCGCGCAACGAACGCGGCCCCACGGCGCGAGAGGTCGCGCGCCCATTCGAGCGGGGAAGACTGGATACGTCGATCGAACTGGTCAGAAACGCGGCGACGGCTGCAAACGCGGCCTGACTTCGCCCGCAAACTAGCGGCCGCATGGTTGCAGTCGGCGTTGCAGTCGGCCGAGGGAAGCTCGGCCAACCCATGCCAGTGGCGCAACTCACTTTTGAAGCGCGCACCCCCCTCTTGCCCCGCATCCTAATAAAGTCCCAGAACCTCTGGGGGGCCCGTCACGACCGCGAGCCGCGCAATTAAAATGGCCGCCAAGAACCGTCGGGCAGCTCAGTGTCGAGGCCACGCCGTCCGCCATGCGGGCGCGGAGGAATGAGCGGAGGCAGGGGGAGCTGTGGATGTTGCTGCGAGATTATTCAGGGGCCCCGCGGATGTCGCGTTCGGTCAGCCTGCCGTCGGCCCCAGCGCGGAAGTGGACGACGATGATATCCGTCGAGGCTGCCGGGCCCCGGAGACAAAGTTTCGCCGCCCCCCCCACTCCAGACTTGAACACGCCTAATAAGGGGGCTCGCTAAACAGGCGGAGCAACATGTCCCGAACGACAATACCAACGCAAGCGCGTCCAATAGCGGGGCCCTGCGACCAATGGGCCCAAGCACCCGGCGGCGAACGCCAAGTGCGTTTGCACACTCCGGTGCCGCGCACTTCCTGCAA